AAAAAAAATATTTAATATTCTTATATGTATACAATCGTAAATATATATTATAATAAAATTACAATAAATATATATTATGTATTTATATAACTTATTATCATATAAATAATAAGAAAAAATTAGGTGAAGCAAGTAGAAAACAGTGAGAAAATAATATTCGTTTTATTCATGTTGTATATTGAAATACAAATACTTATATATTTATACAATTTTTATGAAAATTTATTTTTGATCTTATTTTAATTTACTGGTTTTTACGTTAATTATCCGTCACCTTGAAAAAATAACTGTAAATAATATACAAATTAATATAAAATACATATATAATACAGGTTATTCAAGGATATATAAATATGTGAAAATATATATAATATATAAACATTTAAAATTAATTATATAAAGAACACGCCATGCTAATTAGCTTAAATGTATATATTATTATATAAAATAGAAAAATAATAGAAAAAAAATCAATAACACATTTTAATATAATAATTAAAGAAAAATAACCTTATATAATTATGAATAATTATTAGTGTAAATTGATAAATTATATTTATTCTTTACATAATATATCAATCTATAAAATTATTACATATCACAAAAAAAATATATATAAATAAAAATAAAGATATTTACACATTACTTATATTCAATTATACGATAACAGTAAATTCTAATAATTATGGTAATATTAATACATATTATTGATTAAATTAAAAATAATACATATAATTTGCTTTTTCTTACATGATTAGCATAAAATTATAATGAATATTATTTCATTCAACAGAAAACGATAAAAATGAAATATTAAGCATAAACCCAGAACGCTATCCTTGAACACTAATATATTAATAAAAAATATATCAGCTTTTTTTTCCACTTTTATATAAATTAACAAAATGTCTACAGAACCAGAAGTAAAAGAAGACGTATGTTCTTACATTTTATGTCATTTAAAACTCATATTACATAATTTGACAATACCTTTTGTATAGAGGCATAGGACGAAATGGTTTATTATGTATTATATTAAAATTTTTTTTTTATTATGACTTCAATTATTAGTTCGATTTTAGGAATATCTTTCCAACATGATTGAATGATTTTAATACACATGCAACTAATGGTGCACCTATTGATGAATCAAAAATTTCTAATACATGTTTTATAGTTGCAAGGTTATTAGATGTTAACATTATTAACAAAAAATATTTTTATGGAGATTGTAAAAACCTTCTTCTCTATTTAGATTATATAAATAAAAATTACCTTAACAATGATATAGAATCAAGTTGTAAATATTTCAACTATATGCTTAAATATACATTAAATATTAATAACATTTCAAAAAAAAGTACTAAAGATGCTTATAATAATATGATAACTCAACTTGATGGAAACCATACATTTAGTGTACCTAATATATGTAAATCATATGCTAAAGATATTAGTGATGATACATTTCAGAAATTTGATAATTTGAATAAACTATATACCACTATTGAACGAGAGAGCGGCACCTGTAAAAAGAATAGTGCATGTTTTAATATATATACGAGTAATTTACTATATTGTAAAAATATGAATAACATCAGTTATTGTCAAGAACTGGATTTATTAAAACATCAATATATTGAAAATAGTGTACATGAACCTGTAAATAAAGAAGCTTCTGAAATCAGAACTTCCTCGTTTCCTACATATATACGTACAGTTTTTCTAACACTAACTATTACAACATTTGCAATATCAACAATTATATTCATTTTATATAAGGTTAAATACAAATTGAGTTTATATGATATATATAAAATTTTTGTTACACGTTATTATGAAATTTGTATCTAATAAATAGCATATTCACATAAGTTCAACCATGATTTTTTATTATTAGAATATATAGTATAGATCATATTTAGGACCATTGTTAGTGAAAATAAAAAAACATTTTTAATAAAAAAAATGAAGAATATTTTACATTTTTGGATTCATTCGAGAGCTCATACAAAAATTATTATAATAAGGATTATAGAATAGAATACAGTTCAGTGGATCATACTTAATAAAAATGTGTCAAAATTGGTGAATTAAGCATAATTTTATATAAATAACACAATAATGTATACAAAATTTTGTATGAAAAAAATAATAATCATGCAAAAGTTAATAATATAAAATTATAAATAAATTATAAAATAATTTATATTTTTTCTGTAAATTAAAGATATAAGTTAATTGTCAAATGTAGAACAATATCACCTAATGAACAATAATTATAATTATTATGAAATAGCTCAACGACAACTTATTAACATGGGTTAATAGTTGTTATATATTATGGATGAATACTTTAAAATAATTATATCAGTATTCAAGTAAACTTGTAGTGTTCATATATAATATTTATTGTAGTTCAAAAATATTTTATAAATATATCTGAAAAGTAAAATGATTTAATTATTTGAAAAAAAAACACATATATATACAATATATATGTAAACACTTTATGACATATTATTATATATACAGGTAGAGTACATGAACAAATAGTTCCCAAATTAATAACAGATAAAACAGTTACATTCAAAATCTGCATCCCACCTAAAGAATATAATTAAATTTTAATGAATGAGAGACCCATGTAATTAAATTGTAGTATTTTTTTAGAGTATATATGTAAATTGTAAATTTTAAACAATGTTTATACTTTTACTGTATTGATATTATGCATTTTTCAATCTTATGCATACTAATACTTTTCATATAATGAAAAAAATATATAGCAAAATTTAAAAAAATACATATCACATTCATCACTTAATATCATTATATGCATAAAATAATAATTATAATCGGCTCATATTTCCATAGGGATATATAAATAAACATTATATTATTTTTATGAATCCAGATAATATTTAATACATATTTTTCTTTCAGCACATATTATTATAATTTGTCAAATGCTCTTACAATATATTTCATTTCATTATGATTCTTATGTAATATATATAAATATAGAAGAGAATAACTCATATATATATTCCTAAATATATATTATACATTGTTTTTACATAGTGATCATTAATTTTAGTTATTGTAAGATATTTTTACTTTCTCATAAAGTATATATATGCCTTAATTTTGGTGTTCAGCATTATAGTCATCTTTTTTTCAAACTTTATTAATAATGCTTATATGTAGTTATTCAGTATATAAATAATCTATCACATTCAGTTGTATTATTAATAACTTGATTAAAATAATATATTTTACATAATTTTTCCTATATGATAAAATATTTAATATAGAATTTTTATATTTTTTTACTGATATTTCGCGTATAATATTTATAACTATAAATGTATTAGATGTTGAACTGATCTCGTTGCGTAATTCGTCATATATTATATATAAAATAGATGTTATTTCTCTCTTTTATCGTTTATTTCGTATATTATTATAATTAAACGATATATTTTATTCACTGCATTATGATTTTTTTTGGAGTTATGTAAATTAAAATAAATACAATTAATTGTGATATTTTTATTAGTACTCAATTTCTTTTTATATATTAATAAACCGTATTTCCACAAAATGTGTAGAATAATTTTTTGTTATTAAGAACATTGAAGTGTTTTTTAAAGAAAAATATATATGAGAAATATTTTAAGTACTTTACTGAGTTATATATTATAATTGACAAATCAATATATATACTTGAATATATATATTGTATATAATATATGATACAAATGATAGATAATCTATAGAACTATATGGATGTATAACTTAAGGATAAGTTTTACTTATAATGATGAATAAGGAAAAATTGTAGTCGCTATTTCATTTTATTCTTAGCATAGCATTATTAACCAAAATTATCATATTAACTAATTTAGGGAGGTAAATTATATTTAATTATTATACAGAATTAATATTCTAACTTTTATAAGGATATCAAAAATTTAAAACAAATTGTAAATACTATTTTTGAGTTAACCATTAAATTATTCAAAATATTACTATCAATTATTAAATGTTCATGTGTTATTTATACATCTCAACAATTGTTATAAGGTGACATACTTAACACTCCTTTAAATTTTGAAAAACTCTTATTAATTTTTGTTCAAAATAATGTACAATTTCTATTCATGTCTTTAAGGATTTTCTCATATAAGTGGTCATATATTTAGCCAAATGCAGAAAAGGTGTAAATATTATTATTAAAAATGCGTTCTATATGTAATAAATAATATATTTTCTTTTATAAAGATCTTAATAAAGGTTTTTTCATGGAATGTATGTTTGTATATATACATATCAAAAATTTTAAACATATGTATAACTATATAAATATATTATGTTCCTATAATATACATATTGTCCATTTCTTTGAAATTTTATAAATAATATGAAAATTTTTTATTATTCTATTTTTCATCTTGGAATGTTTAAAAATAATATTTTTTATAAAACATCCTGAGAGCTGCATGCACTGGTTTTAAAATTTTACATTTGGCGCAAGCATTTATCATAATATTCTATATTGCTTTTTTTTCATATATACTGTTGTATAATTAAGTAGAAATATGTAGGAATTAAATTGGAGAAAAATAAATATTATGTTAAATTGTAACAAAGTGGTATACATTATATTTTTTGAGAATTCATACTTTTCAAGCATATAATTTATATCAACATATATCAACTCTTTGATACATAGTTGTCAACTTTTACAGAACTGACTACAAATTAAACATCATACTTTTACTCTTTAATAACTTATTAATCATCATATATTACTTACCTTCTATCTGCAGTAATGTTTTAATAATTTGGTACAAATTTGTATATAATTTTTTTTCTTCTTAGTAAAGGCTCTATGTACGATATATTAAAGAATAAGTAACTTATTTAATATGTTTCTTTTAGCTTCATAAAAACATTACAGTAAATGTTAGATATATATTTCATTCAGTTCTTTTATTAGTTTTTTTAAGATTTCAAGGATTTTATGTGTTAGATATTCAACACTTATCCTTTTTATTTTTATATTTTCTTTCTATGCTACATATTTTTCCAATTTATAAAATATTCCTCAATATATTAATCCAGTGAATTTGATTATTAATAAAACGGATAAATAAATACGTATCATGCAATAATTCAATG